GCCCTCAGAAAGTTAAAACAAAACTGTGTATGGAGAGAGAAAATGATAAATGGGGTAAAATGTTAACAGTAGGTGAGTATGGGTACAGTAAAGGCTATATGGTGCTCTTTATACTTTATTTTTACAGCTTAACTGTAAGTTTGAAGTTTTTTCCAAATAAAAAGAAAAGATAATATGGTATAGTTATGATACATTCTGATGAATTAACAATAAAGTGATAGAACTTAGACAATATTCTAGAAGAATGAATAGTGAACATGCCCATTAGGCAGTTTCTCTCAAATATCATACGTCTCAAGTGAGCCTTTGGTAAGTACTGGATCATAATTGATGGTTGAGTTATCCACTGAGTGCCTTAAGTGCCAATATTCTCTGTTGTTGATTGAAGAGGGATCCATATGCTTTAGATACCAAATGTGGAACAAACAGTGTTGACATTCTGTTATAAAAATGTAGAAGCCTGATTTGTTTTGTGCTAGTTCATTTTCTCATGAAGATGAACCAGAGAAGTACTTAATGGAAGTTACTGATGTTTTCTCTCAAGGGGAGTTTGAAACTGTAGAAGCAATTGGACAGGTGCTGAGTTGTGATACCAGTGCTCCAAAAGTATCCTATAGAGAAAAGTGATTTGGCCTAAGTGTTTCAAAGGCATTTGTTAACAATTGACTGCCCTCAATCATAAAGGAATCTGAATTTTTATCCTGTTTAGAAAATGTAATTTTGAACAAGATTGCATGCTAATGGCCTGTTCAGGATAAATTAGCTGCAAAATGTACCCCGAATAACTGATGTCTTTCCAATTAAGAAGCAAATTATACTGATAAAAGCACAAAATATTGTAAAAAAGTTAAAACTCTTTAGAGTGAGATAGAAAATAGCAAGTCCTGTTAGAAAATCCCTACGTGGGAAGTTTTTGATCCATGATAACTTTTTAAAGACTATGCGTGACAGGTACCCCTGCCCCCATTTTAAAGGACTTTTGTACCTACATTTGCAAAAACAAATTTGTAAAAACGCAACAAGGCTTTAAGTATATTGGCAATATCTTAAAAGTCCCCAAGATGGAGATGTGTTTAAATTATTATGAAAGAATGGTCACAGCCATGGTACCTTGGAGCAAATCCTACTGGCCTGAGAGCTGATTGTTAAAGTTTTAGGGATTTTGTAAACTAATTGTTAAACACAGTCATTAATAAAATTAAATTACATAAACTTACTATAAAATAAATTACATTAAAAACAAAGGTAATAAACACTCAAAACTCATCATTTCCTAATTATTTTACTACATTTTACTGTGATCTGTGTTCTTGAGGTTATTTACATTTATTGTACCTATACATCAATGGACTCAAACATCCCAGTGATCATAAAGGTAGCACAGGACTGGACAGTGTTTCATTCTTGTATACATAGGGTCACCGTGAATTGATCCTGACTCGACAGCAGCTAACAACATGGTTGAAATACTATATGACGGTTTGCTACTGTGCATTTTTTCAACTCTGTGTTCAGTGACATCATATTGGTAGCTTGAAATTGGCCATGGTGGGAATATTTACACCACAGAAATCAGCAAATGCCATAAACCAGGTTTTGGTTTATTGTTTATTGATTGTCTAGACTTAAAATGATGAAGAAAATGCTAATATACAAACTTAAAAGTGTGTCATGTCTTTAGCCAAAACATGTGAATAGCACAAAAAATTGATGAAATATTCTTCCAGTATTCAAAAGCTATTATCTAATTCAGCAAAGAACTCACATCATTGACAGCATTGATGTAAATGAAAATATCAGTCATTACTCATGTGCAAATTACATTTAGCTGGTTGGTAAACATTTACCATCACTGGTCATGGCACAATTGAATTCACTGTTTTGGTAGGAAATAGATAATCGTACAAGTATATTCTACTGTTGTTTAGCTTTAGGAAATAGTATTATGACAGTGTGGGTATTAATTAAGAAAAGAAAGGGTTGAGTTTTAAAAGTCATTAATCATAGAGCATAATTATTTTAAAATACATAATTTGAAGCCTTTGTATGTGTGTTGCAGATTAGAAATAGAATCATATACTTTAGGGTTTGATGAACTCTCAAAATTAATCCAGACCTACCTGCCTTACAAGTAGACATTCCTTCTCTAGTCAGAGACAGAGTTCATTACCTGATAATAGTGTTTGAGTTCTTGAAGTAGAGTTTTTTCTGATGTTGAGCTGAACTTTGTTTTCCTTTAAATTCTGCCAGTCGATTCTTCTGGTGAAGAAGAATTTGTCTCTTCTTCTGTAGAGCAGCCAACCCTTAATGTATAAAGGTAGATGAGCCCTGGTGGTGTAGTGGTTAAGAGCTCAGCTGCTAACCAAAAGGTTGGTAGTTCGAATCCACCAGTTGGAAACGACTCGACGACAGTGGGTTTTTTTTTTTTTTTTTTTAATGTTTCTGTTTAGATTTTTGGCAAAAAGTATACCTCTGGTTCCTTTAACCAAAAACATTGTGTGGCATATTGTCTAGACTCTCCATCTAAAACTGTATTGCCTTTTAAACATCCACATCACTATTGTTTGGCTTTTATTGACCTCATAGATAAAGAAAAAGCCTGAGATCTTTTTTTGTGCGAATTGTACACAAGTCTTCTGAGTTCCGTTTGATTCTTTTTAACCCAAAAGCAGATCTTTGTATTTTTTCTGTCTTAACATTTGTATTGCTTTTGGTACAACATTCCAGATTGTAGAAATAATACTGAATTATAATTTTATCATTTTTGGTATTTATTAATACTATCAGTTTTATGTTATTTGCAGGTTTGATAAGTACTCAATGTTTATTATCTACATCCAAATTATTAAAATGTTGAATTGCAAAGAGCAGAGTCTAGAGAATATGTCCACTAAATAACCCCTTTCTAAATTCACTTCTACCCATTATTATTACTTTTTATTGTTTGATCAGTTGTGACTCCACCTGCCAATTTTATTAAGTAGCTCTTATTTCACCACCTTATCCAGAAGTTCACCATAATATATTTTGTCAGATGCTTTGCTAAAAGAAATCAAGATAAACTATGTCTATAGCATCTCCTTCAATAAAACACACTTTAGTAATTCTGTATTTTAAAATTAGGTATTTTGGAAAAATCCTGACATGGCTAAATGTTAAAGTCTTAAACTCTTCCACAGATGGAAAGATAGTCCATGAAGAATGGCATGCTAAATATTAATTAAGAATTATATGGACCCAGAAAAAATTGAGGAGGGGAGTTATTTCTAAACCAGCATGAAAATTTTCTTTAAATGCACCAAAAGAGAAAAACAACAAGAGAATCACTGGGGACACTTGATTAGGGCCGTGGGATATACATAGGCTGAAAAGAAAATAGTTTGTACCATAAGAGCACAGATTCTTCACTGAGGAAATAGTCTAGATCAGGCAACAATTTAGAGATCTGAGAGAGAGTGGACAGAATTTGTTAGCTTTTTTTCCCTTCTCACTACCTCCTTTGAAATGTGTGTGGTGAAATGTAAATAATGGGTGCATCTGAGTGTACGTGAGTATTTCTTTGCTGTGTGCAACTAGTAAGCCAGTTGCTGTAGAGTCAGTTCCAACTCTTGACGACATCATGTGCACTGTATGGTGTATGCCAACCCCATTTGTGTTAGAGTAGAACTGTGTTCCATAGGGTTTTCAATGGCTGATTTTTCAGAAGTAGATTGCTAGGCCTTTCTTCGAGGCATCTCTGGATGAACTCGAACCTCCAGCCTTTCCATTAGCAGTCGAGTGCGTTAACCATTTGTACCACCCAGGGGCTCCTTGCTTCATATGAACTGAAAAACCAGACCCGTTCCTGTTGAAATGATTTCAACTTACAGCGACCCTGTAGGATAGAGTAGAGCTGCCCTATAGAGTTTTCAAGGCTAGAATCTTTATGGAAGCAGACTGCCACATCTTCCTCTGTGGAATGGCTGGTGGGTTTGAACTGCTGACCTTTTGGTTAGCAGCTGAGCGCTTAACCACTGAGTCATCAGGGCTCCTTTAACACTTCCTTATTCTCTCGGCCATGGACAGACTAATATTTACTAATACTTCACAGCATTATTTTGAAGATTAAAAGAATAACTGTGAAACTGCCTAACACACTTCCTTGGATGTAGCAGATAGTAGATAAAGGCTTATTTAACCTGTGTTGAATTTCTTCCCCTTGTTAAATTCCATTGACTAGCTGTAGTGGAGGTGGGTCCGGAAGTTATTAGTGTGAGTTGTTTCATCGCAGTTTCCTTGTCTCCATCCTCCTTCACCCTACCCAGACCGATTTGGTTGCTGCTGAAAGCAAAGAAAATTTACAGTAGGTCACTTGACTAAATAGTACTAATAGAATAATGACTCTTTCCTACTACCTTTTTCTTTCCTAAACAATCATACTTCAGAAGCTACATCTAAAAAGCATTCTCTGATTAGCTCTTCGCATTTTCTAAGCCCCAAGTACAGTTTAACTATCTTCTCCCATTCAGGTTACTCTTAAAATCATTGTATTTATTTGTATATATTTGCGTTGAACAAATGTGTCTTTTGGTTTTCCTTGAACATATACTCTTCAATGTAAATTCTAAGCTCCCAGAGTATAGAGATGGTTGTGTTTTACGACTACTTGATGGCTGGCTATTACTACTCTGATAAGAAATCTGTTTATATTCATCTTAAAACAAGGATACTTGTTTAAAAAAAAAAGTAGACAGGACTTGGGAGGTAGAGGTAAAGGGTTTTGGGGAATATGAAGAAAGGATATTTCGATAAAATTCATGGGCTCATGAGTTGTTTTGGAATCTGCTCTCCTTAGTTGCTTACCTGATTATATTAGTTATTTTGTAGCAGATTTTACTTTTTTTAATTTGAGAGTTTCTCTAGGATGGATTGGTAGGCCCTCTACCTAGTCTTTAAAAATCTCTTGGTTCAATACATTGTAATTAGTTTCTGGTCATTAAATTCTTCTCTCTTTCTTGCAGATTGAGGAGGTGCCATGCAGCAAGATACAGAGAAATGCAGAGTTCGAGCCAGAAGGCCTGACATGGCACTTTATGTACCCAAAGCTCGAAGGGGTGCAGTACACTCTAAAGCAGGTGATGAGGAAAAAAGCTATGGCCCACCTAACTCTGTGGTGAAAGAAGAACAAAAAGAACATTTTGTCTCTCAAAAGGAGATGTTTAGAGACAGACCTGAGGCTCGAAGACTAGATATTAATCCTGATAGAAAGGAACAAAATCGTAGGGAAGGAAAGAAATCCTTGACAAAATTAAAAAAAGATAAATGCCTTCAAGAAAGACATAAAAATAAGGTTTATATTAAGAGGGGAACCACAGAATGCAAAGAAATATTATCCCAAGGACATCAGCAAAGAGTCCCAAATCCTGAGATTATATCTAGTGTGCCTTTACAAAAACATTTTAAACCAAAAAAGGTAGAGTGTTTGGAGGTTGAAACCACAGATGTGACAGGACATGAGAATTTGCTTCTATCACAGTCTTGTTCAGAAGTCAGTGAGGCTCAGGTTCTGACCAAACCATTCCAAAATGTGAAACTCTGTGATTTTAGTAGGCACGGACTAAATGGGGGAATGTTTGAAGACAGAGAGTTAGAAAGCAGAATTGAAACTGATTCCAAGGTTGTGGAGATAGTATCCCAGTTTCCTGGAGGTTTCAGTTCTGCATTGAAACTTGAGGATATGCTTGCACCACCAAAACTAAACTCTGATTCTGGACTTGTACAAGAAGACATGCAAACATCAGGTGAAATGTTGAAGATCAGCGATGGAGGTATCACTGCTATTTCTGTTCTTGGAAGTTCAGATAGTATCATTGATCAAACTTGTGTAGACTTTGAAGTTCAGACTGTAGGTGATATGGACAACAGTACATGTTTCATCTTGAGTCAGAAAAGTATGGATTCCATTCCTGAGGCTATGGGTCATAGCACTTATAAAATGCCAATAGTCAGCAAATTAGAGAACACAAATGGCATTTTTGATCCCACAATGATTACAGAGTGTGAGAGGAATGACAGCATTGCTGATGAAATATGTGTAAAGTATGGACCTTCTGATACAGCCACCCTTGCTCATGAAACATACTCAGATAATGGATCTAATAGTGTAGGTGACATTACCAGTAAGGTGTGTGTAATGGACGTCACAGATGTCATATCTGAGAACGTAACTGTGGACAGCCCTTGTGTAGTTACAGTTAGAATAGTTGATGAGGCCTGTAGCAACACAAATAGTTTCTCAAAACATACAGAGATGAGTGCAGACACAGCCCCTCTTCATGTAGCTAAAAGTGGAAATAACACTGAAAATTCCAACAACCTGACTGATTGCTCAGATATTTATGCTGAGAGTATTCCATCTAGTTTCACAGAGTCAACAGGAAAGTTGATAGAGAGCTTATCAGATTGTGCGTCCTCCTTACCTATAAAGAAGATTGCTGGTATTAATTATAACACTTGTTTGGACTCTGAACTCAGTATGTTAAACTGGACAAAAGTACTTTCAGACAGTGCCTTGGGCAAAGATCTGGATTGTGCTGGTCATATCACAGAAACATTGCATGAACTAAGAACTGCTGAAGAGTTTAAAACAAAAGAGGAAGATGACTCAGAGAATATAACATTTGATGTGTCCTTTCCTGATGTGGAATCAGTATCTGTGGAAACATCCATGGAACCGAAAGCAACTGAAACTTCTTACATGGAAGGAAGTACTGATACCGAGGAGAGCTGGGAGTCTATGTTTAATGATGATGGTGACTGCCTGGATCCACGTCTTCTACAAGAGGTATGTTTAGATGAAGTTGCTTGAAGCTTAGGAAGTTTCTAGATATGGGGAGCCTGGGGTTTGGGCGGTAATTCTGAGAGACATTTGTGACAGTCACTCATATTACATCCAATTTCAAGCTTCCTGCAAAAAACTTAAAAGATTGTAAAGTGAGAAAGATTATCTGATAGACCTTTAAAAAATAAAACATACAGAACTGAGCTGTATCTATAATAGCTAAGTCCTGAGAAATCTTACTGAACAGAGATGAATTAAATGGATTCTGGCTCTCTGTTAAAATGCGGAGGGAAACTTCTTCAAAGAGTTTTTTCTGTGTTGACAAGATATATTTGACACACGCCCATGGGGAAAGGAGAATTACTGATTATTACCATTTATTTTCTTTTTTCAGTAGATGGTTGGAATGTTGCTAGACACTAAAGAGAGGAGGGTAGAGTAGGAGCGATAAAAGAAGGCATTTTTTTTTTTATGGAGTTCATGCTTTGAGTTAAATTGAAGAACAGATGATTGTTTATAAAATAAAAAGCATAAGTAAATAATGATGTGCTGGCCAGTTAGAGTTCATAAATAACAAAATGTTAAATTTTCAAGGCATCTTAAAAATTGTTTAATCTTTTCATCTTCTTAAGACAATTACTGTCTATCCAACATTTAAATTCTTTACCATAAATAACAGTCATTGGTTTTTAATAGAAGAACTACTCCCCCTTTCATTCCTTATAGTTGGTCCACATAGCCATTGCCTGGAAGGGAAAAAAATGATTTCCCTTTAAGATCCTCAGTCTTACAGATGGAGAAATTGAACCTCAGTGGTCACAGCTTTTGGAAGGACAGAGTCAGGATTTCGGTCTAGTTCTGTCTTAATCCAAAGTTTATGTTCTTTCTCCTAGACCATTTCCTCACCTACAAAATAAAGGGCTAACTTAAACAATTTCGAAGATCCTTTTAAATACTAATATAATGAGTCTTTTGCTTCTGAGACTTAAACCAGAGGTACAGAAAAGTTATCACATGCAGGTGAAAGAGCCAGTTGAGACTAAAGAAGACAACCCATTGGACAGAACTGACTCTCCAGTATTAAGCAGTTCCACCTCATTTTTAGGAAGTGTTTACATACGTTGAGTTTCCCTGTACCACAGATAGTACTTCCTCCTGTCAAGTCAGGAAAACAGTATGTCTTATATGTCTTCCTTAGGAGGAAATATAGAGTAGAGGATATCTATAAATGGGCATTCATAAACACCTTGAAATTACATGAATAATTTTATGTGTATGTACATTTTTTCATAGCTTTAATCAGATTTGGGAACCAAACCAAAGGCAAGGAGTCCCAAAATGGTCCTGTGACCAACAGCATGAGCATCACTTGGTAAAATGTTAGAAATTGCAAACTCTTAGGCTCAGCAATCTGTATTTATAAGTTTTCCAGGTAATTCTGTTGCACATAAAGTTTGAGAACCACTGCTCAAAGAGAAACGTGTATCAGAATGTGAGTGGGAGAACTACAGATGGCTGTTAGCCCATAATTACAAAAATACTGTTCAGTGGAGGTTTAGACCCAACTCAGATTAAGAAATATGAATAATGGGGAAAGTTGGGTGACTATAGAGAAGTTATTAAAGAGCAAAGCGTTGGGAGAAGGCCTTAGTCTGAGAAGGGAAGCAATGTTCACAGGAGTTAGCAAAAGCACTACCTGAGGGGTAGAGAGCACAGGCATGCGTAGGAGGACAAGGACTGTTTTCTGCTTCCTACGAAACAAAGACATAGCACACACTGTCTTTTACACATGGTTGCCGTTGCCATCGAGTACATTCTGACTCATAGCGACCCTATAGGACAGAGTAAAACTGCTCCATAGGGATTCCAAGGAGCAGCTGGCAGATTTGAACTGCTGAGCTTTTGGTTAGCGTCCGTAGCATGCCATAGCTCTTAACCACTGCGGATATAGGTGACAGGGCAGAGTTGGAGCTTCCTGCCTTTTTCGGATGGCCTCCAGAGATTTTCAAAATATTACTGCTGGAACTTGAATTCTCTGTGGTAGCTTAGTGATATGGTTTCTGTATTGGTTGGGAGGGAGATTCAGTTGTGCAGTTTCGTTTTTCAGTCTTAATACCATTTAGAATAGGTGCAAAAGAATTTAGGCAACCACTTAGTATTTTGAGGAACATAGCTAAAGAGGAAGCTGGCATGAGCTAAAGCTGGCAATGATAATAAATGGGGTTACAAGGAGTATGTAGTGTTCTAAGCTGGAGACAGCCAGAACCTAGGTATTGTGTTTGGATTATCTTCGGAGGTACTTGGGAGGGAGTAGGGTCTATGTTGAGGAATGAGGATGGATGAGGGCAGGAAATAGGGAGCTGGATTGAGAATGATAGGTACGAATCCAACTCCAGATGATGATGGTCGCTTCTACTTTGGGTTTTAGAAGATGTAATAATAATAATACTAAAAGATGTAACAAATCCAGTGACATTGATAGCCCTTTGACAACTATTACTCTTAATTTATTATGTATATTGCTCTAAGTATAATTTATTAAGTGCTAAACCAGAGTGTCTGCCTACCTTGAAAACTTTCCAACCTAAGATTTTTGCTGTTTTCCCAGTTGGCCTGTTTCTTTGTTGAGAGTGGCTAGACTTGGAGATAGACTCCACCTCTGGTAGGCTGGGAGGTATGCCGTAGAGCAGGGTGTGACAGTCATGGGCATATGAAGCAATTTCCTGTGACATTCAAACCTCTAAAACTGCTGGGGGTGGGTAGAGAGGATAGGTAAGTCATTATTGTGCTCCCGGAACTGCAAGTCTTGATGAATCTCCAAAGATCACACTTAAATTCTTAAAGCCATAGTACAGGATGCCCAGAAATATATGTTGGTAATTGATAAAAGGGAAGATGTTGGCATGACGTCTTTTAACCCTCTGAGATCTTGGAACAAGAATATAAGAATTATTGTTGCCTTGAAAAAACTTCCATAGCCCTTGCTGCCTCCTGTACACATCCTGTAGGAGGGTTGGTGGGATACCAGCAACATAACATTGATGTTGCTAGATGCTGGCATCTGACCCCTTCATTGGCTGTTTCTGGTCTTGAATCGAGTTTTTAGGTAGGGGTAAATATTTAGGTAAGAGTCTCCTGTATTTTAAGAATTTGAAACCTTCCATTTAGAAAGTTCTTTTGTTACAGAACGCTACTAACAACTATGGAAAAGAGAAAAAGAGCAACACCTATTCCCACCCATCTTCCTTCCCTTTGTGTGCTAACTCCTGTCCGGAGGCACTCCGTCTCCCTGTATAGTCTTTTGCAAGAATTCTGTCCATTTTTAAGTGGGAAACACAAAATCAAAAGGAAAAATTTATAATCCAGCTACTAAAAGCAAATTTTATGAAGTATAAAGGGAGGTTTCATATCCCATCCCCTAGAGACATAGTAACAGTTGGTACCCCGTCACTTTTCAGTTAAATAGCAAATATTCAGCACTTAGAATTTGATAAACAGTAAATAGCAAATAGTTAGATACAAGTTAGTTATTATTATCACTACTGTGTTAAAGGCACTATGCTACATGCCAGCTTTCTTCTGTGTCCTAAAATTGCCTACATTTTAGTTGGAAAGAAAAGATGTAAATATGTGACTAGATAGTTGAATGACAATCTCAGAGGTAAATAATATAAAACAACCAGCCAACAACCATATAAGACATGACCTAAGGCTATATTTGATTGTCTGATGAGTGCTACAGACAATGGCTTTAAAAAGGATTAAATCACTGAGGGCTATACTAGTTGATATTGTTGCCTGTAGGTGAGGCCCTAGAAATGAAGCAAGAGATTATAATGGTGATATGTTTTGTAATGTTTATTCTATTTCATTCATTCCCTATTTAGTGACAATAGCAGGTAGACGAAAGGTTATAGTGACAAAGGGAACCAGGTACATTCCTAGCCCTGCCCAGGAAAACACAGACAGCAACTGTATCCCAAAATTATAGATTCATTTGTGTTAAAAAGCTTGGTTAAAGATGCAGACGCACCTTTGGGAGAATTAAGTCCCATCCACACTTGATTTAAATGAATTTAATCATTTATGTCAAAAAATACTTACAGGCATGCTCGGTACTCTGTTACTGGTCTTTGGGAGCAGTGGTGGAGAGAAAGAGAGTGAAGCAGCTTTAGCCTGTCTGCTGAAATGAATAGCCAGCAGTCTAAAATTCAGGCTTATTTTTTGTTGTTATGAATTTGAGATTGGGATGTAGGGAGGTGTAGGTTTGCAATAAGGCTGTTTTGGGACAAAGGGAATTTAATTGCTAATCAACAGTTTTATATAGGAGATCTTTTGTATAGATCCAAAGGCTGAGATTGTTAAGGAGGAGCCAAGGAGATGCCTAGACATACTGGATATCAGACTTAAAGCACCAAGACTAAATTTCTGATCCTTCAGATGATGGGTCATCCTACTGTATTGCCTGGCTAGGTCAAGATTCACTCACTTCCTTAAGCCGTGGATCTGACTCTGCAATTTGAAGGTCAGAAGTATGTGTCTCTTACCTGTTGCTGAGAAGGACAGATAAGGAAGGACTGTTGTTGTTGTTGTTAGTGTCTTCAAGTCGATTCCGACTCAGTGACCCTATGTACAACAGAACAAAACAATGCCCAGTCCTGCACTGTCCTCACAGTCATTGCTATGTTTGAGCCCATTGTTGCAGCCACTGTGCATCAGTCTGTCTCGTCGAGGGACTTCCTCTTTTTCGCTAACCCTCTACCGGGCATGACGTCCTTCTCCAGGGACTGGTCCTTCCTGATGACATGTCCAAAGTACTTGAGATGAAGTTTCACCATCCTTGCTTCCAAGAAGCACAGACTTGTTCATTTTCCTGGCAGTCCGTGGTATATTCAGTATTCTTTGTCAACACCATAATTCAAAGGCATCAGTTCTTCCTTGGTCTTCCAGCTTTCGCATGCATATGAGGCAATTGAAAGTATCACGGCTTGGGTCAGGCGCAC